AATGTTAATTTTACGTTAAGTTAACTTTAACAAAATGCACCAAAATTTTAGAAATTTATTAACGTTAAATTAACGTTAATAAATTTTGGTCGAAATTAATTACCCACCCTGGGAAACTATACTCTTACCATAATTTTCAAGTATAGCAGTATTAGTAACGATCTTGATGGAAACATTGTTAAAGTTAATCCACCATCAATCGCAAGCTCAGCGTAATTTAATATTTCAGATTTCAAACCTAATTTTCATTTCAATGTTAAGCCTTGAAATGATCTGCTTATAACTAGGCACATACATATGTAAGACAATTAAATGTATAGACGGTTAATGACCATGTTTAAGTTTAATGAAATCAAATTTTTACATTATTTTTCGGTGATTAACTTGATTTTTGGTCCATATTCAGATACACTACAAAGAAGAGATTAGATTCGTTTAAATTCATTAAACCTTTGAGAACATAATCCATCTCCAAAATAAAAGAGAGGAAAAAGGAAAAACACGAACACGATGCATGATTGAAAGCAGTTAACTTGGGATGAGCGTGTAAGTTAATTCGAAGTCAATTTGAAAACGTTTCAAAACACTTGACTTCGAGCACACGCAAACCAAAGTGAGGCGCGTAAATTAACCAAAAAACGATATTATTTACGACTGTTTACAACGATGCTACACTTTTATGAAGAACTTTTGACGATGAGTGTAAACAAATTTTTATTTTTATTTTCATCGAAAAAGGAGGATGAAAATATAAGTTGAAGAAATCGTCGAAAACATCAATTTTTTGTCATTTTCTTCCATTCGACTGAAACTTTCTTAATATTTTCATTTAGAACATAAACATTGTGGTTGGGCAAGTCATTCATTCGCCGATAATTATTTACAATCATCTCTTGATGTTTTCAAAAGAAAAAGAAAGGAAATGAAGAAAAAAACTTTCATTTATACATTCACAGCTTCAACGTCAATTCGATGGAAGGAAAAATGTCATAAATTCTATTCATCTTTATAATGAAATATTTCACGTGGGGCTTTCAAAAGGAAACCCCCAAAATCACTGGTAAATATTCTACGCGTTGATAATTTATCTCTTCCACTTTTCTTCTTTTTCTTTCTTCTCGCATCTCCCAATCTATACAGTTATCGACTCATCTTTACATTAAATGCCGGTTGTTAAAAGAAGACGAAAAGAAGAATCTTGAAAGGAAGCAATTACTTCTCCGGGTTGTTTTTCACAATGAGGATGTCGGTGTGAATTTAGGAAGGAGAAGCGGGGGCGTGACAGCAATATTCCCATGATGCAATTTTAGTTATGAGTCATAAATTCCGAAGAAGCAGTAGCCGAGTAAGAAAAGGGCATAAAGATCGCTTAAAAGAATATTAAATTTTAAAACTCTCGTCTTAACTCGCTCGTTTCCATCCTTCACTTGTTATGTTACTGGTTGCTTCCTTTTACATGTCAGTCTCATAACTTTGCCTCACAGCAAAATATAAGAGAAACCTCTATACGAGCACGTTTCAATGCCAATGGTTGTGAATTGTTATCACAAAATATTCAAAGCGATATTTTTCGTTAATATGCTGGAAATTGTTTCATGGGTAATTTTCATAAAAAAGAAATGAAAGCGAAAAAAAAAGAGTTTTAAAATTAATGTTTCAACTGATATCATCTTTCTTCGTACGTTTTTCTTCTCTATCCCATCTTTATTTTCATTTTCTTTTGTTTAATTTTAACTATGTAGCTTTTCGACGCGTTTGCAAATTTAATATCAGCAGGCTTGTCATTTGATAAACCAAATTTTTTCGACATTTTAGGTTTAATTACATTATTTTACTCTTATGTAGAATTTGTTTATTGGTAAGTGAATGACTTATCTACATAACTTGAAATTATTTAGTTAAGAGGAAGATTAACTAACGTTACTCAACTCTGTGAAGAGAAATGTTGAACGGGAAAATAAAAATGTTTTGTCGCGATAAAAAAAGATTTGAACTCAAGTAAAATCTGTTTGTCTTGTAGTACAAACGTTCTCGTTAGTTTCTGCAGGTAATGTGAACGATTCTCATCGTAGCTTTTCCCCATAAATTCAGAACACTCTTCGGAAACAAAAAAATTAAACTTTCTCTATAACTCTTGAAAGTTTTCACACGTTAAGTCATTGTCAAACTAATCTTTAATTCCCATATTTTTTAAGGAAAACTTTTAGTTTTTCACTGCAGTTTGCTAATGAAGAGAAAAAAAGTTTTTGAGTGTGAGTTGGAGAAAATCTTTAAATGACATTTCAATTTGGTTATTCCTCCAGTGAGTCACTGGAACCTTGCAGGAAGCAAGTGCACTGCATAATTAAGCTTGTTATTGGAAATGAATGGGAATACTGTGATGTTGAAAGGTCAACATGTGCTCTTTGTCTGCTTGGGCATGAAATATGAATAGGAAAATTATCAAGTGACGGGTAAACAGAATTTAAATATTTTATTTCCTTGATTTTACATTTCAATAAATATTTCAATTGAATCGTTTTATTTATTTACAGTGAAATGTATTTAAAGATTCAGGATGAAGATAAAATAAGTATTTGAGCTATCTAGGAAATAGCACGACGAGAATATCTAAGAAAGCTCCATTAAACTTCCTTCCATCGTAGTTTCACGTCATCGTTTTCACATCAGATTGAGAATGGAATTAAATTCTGAATTAAATTGAAAACTCTAAAGTATCTAATAGAAATGAAAGAAAATTTTTCATTCTTCATTTACAAATGTTCATTCATTGATGACGTCGAAGATAACGTAAGTATTAAGTCTCGATTCTTTGCCGTTTTAAAGCTTATTAATCTCTAACAATAGAGAAATTTTTTTTTGTTCAATTTTTTTTTAATAAAGACTTCAAATATTCCTAACCATTAATCGTAATGGAAAATCAACTGCTTTTGGAAAATTTTCAAGGGAATTAATGAAAAATCATCCATGAAAATTTTATGAAAAGAAAAAACGAGAAATTGGGAAAGCCTGAAAGTTAGCTTCGAGGAAGAAGAAGGAATTTTCAAATGTGAATTCGATTTTATTTTCCTTGAGATATCTCAAAGTAGTTTCCTTTCATGTCAATTCTCCATTTTAATTTTGAAAATAAAACTTTTACAACGGTGTTGACCCTGAAAATTTTTAATTTATGCTTTCAATTGGATTTCAATTGATTTTGCTTCCATAAATATTCATTGAAGGAAGAAAAAGGAAAAATAAACAAACAAACAGAAAAACTAACCATATCGTGATTTAGAAAACTTTCTTCGATCTTCCTTTTGACTTCGAACATAGCTTCGTTAGGTTATGGTATTTATTATGTCTGGAATACTACACGAGCTTCTTCTCCCATAAAAAGCTCACGAAAACACGATTTTCAATGCATATGCGATGTTTCTATTAATTTTACTCAAATCTTCTTTCTTAGTTTTTGGCTCATTGTGTCAAGGTTGGTTGAGATTGAATGAAGTGCCTAGAGAAACTCTCATAACTCTAGCTTCTAAAATAAAATAATAATAAAACGGTTCCCTTTTCCTCTTCATTTCGATATCTACTGTAGTAACAAATTCGTTTTTACTGTGTGATGAAAATATGAAAACAAAAAGAGAAAATAGAAATCACGAGAGTGAAGGAAAATAAAATTTTTATTTGCGTTTGTAAAGCGTGCTCAAGTGACGTGATGATGTGATGGAGAAACGCCCAAGAGATTTTATGTAATTGCACAGCAGATTAAATTTTAATGCCTTGATTCGTTTGTTAGAATGAGGAGGAGAAGGTGGGGGCGTTTGGTGATGAATTTAGTTGAATTCTCAGGTGTCATATTTGGATGATCTAACAACTATAAAAAGAATCTCCTTTATTAAATATTAAAAGCATCAAATAAATTGAAGAACGTGACACTTCGGAAAGGGAATTCTCCTCTTTATCTCTCTCTTCCCTTTTTCTATACGGTTGAACTTTACACAACCAACTACGTGACGTCAATCAACATCAATCCCACGTTGCATTAATGAATGCTAAATTGAAAAGTTTAAAAAGTCTCAAAGAGAACGGTAGAAAGTGACGAAGAAGAGAAATGGAAATCACTGCTTTTAAATGTAGCAATGTTAAAAGCAAAGGTCTCACACATCTACGACATCAAATGTACCGTTTTATGAAAATTATAAAATTAAATCTCCTTTTTACCGCACATCAATTTGTTTTACGATTATTTTCTGTCGGCTCTTTACTCTGCTCTTTTCTTAAAAGGTACTAAAGATAGAAAAGAAAAAGCGTTTAATGGGAGAACCAAACATTGTCCAAGTCTAAAAGACTGACTTTTTTATTCTGCTTTCTGAAAACGACAAAAGTAAGATGAAATAAGAAAAAGAAGAAAATCAGAAGTCACCAAGTTTTCCATCCATTCAACTCACAGGCAAGTCAATGAAATTCACAAAATTTCTTTAGGTAAGAAAGGTCGAGAGTGTAAAAAAACATTTATTTTATGTCGTCAAAAGGTTTCAATGCTCGAACTACATAAGAAGCAAGAAGCAAGAAGCTAAGAAGGTATAAAAGGAAAAGATTTCATCAAATTATGAATAAATTTCCGACATTTTCTCTCAGCTTATCGACTTGTTGAAGTCAGAGGCCGAGAATGATTTTCTGTTTGTGGACCTTTCAACCAAAATTTCGTATATCTACATAAAATATACTTCTGCCTTTTCATTTCTGATCCCAAATCGCTCTTTAAATTTTAATATTAATCAGAGATTTGTAAACAGTTTCAATGTCTTGAACTTAATTTTCTATGATTATTGTTTTAAATTTATTCATAAAATTTATATTTACACAAGTCACATGTATATGACATGATACAAAATGTACAAAAGACTCGTGTCAAGTCTTTTGAATATGTCTGTTGAGTGACGACAGATCTAAGAATGATTTTTCTCTTCTCTATTTTTTCACAATATTTTTTATTTTAAATAATTTCCCAACACGAACAGACGTTAATGTTTATTATGATCGAGTGACATTTTAATTAATTACACGTTGATTACATGTTGCTGGTTTTTAAGCTTACATCATGCACGGTGTAAACGATTTAACTAAGCGGAAAAAATAAATAAAATGCATTAAAAAATTCGAGTAAAAAATTTTCGAGATGATCGTCTCAGATAGCTCATTTAGAAAATTAAAATTATTTAATTAAACAGTAAATTCATCAATTAAAATCCAATCAATTAGTGTACGTTTCAAAACAACGTTTCAAGTAATTATTCATGCATCAAACAATCAATGAGTTCACTACTTAGTTTGCCAGAGATATCATATAGCTTAGGGAAAACAGTCGAGTAGAGGAAAAACTTTTTTCTGTCGAATTTTCTGAGTTGCCGTGATCAGAGATTTCATCGATGCTAATATATTCAAATTGATTCAAATGAGGCGAGAAAAGATTTGAATAAAAAGAAGGAAAAACCCTGAACGTACACGAGACGATGATAGGAGAAAGATTACCTAATTAATAAAATATAACTCATGTGAATTTTCCGCTGGCACGCTGTTAATTTGTTGATATTTCTCTAGGTTACGAATTGCCATTTAATCGACGTATTTAGCGATAGGAAGAAAAGTGAAATGTTTAGTAGAAGAGTCTGGCAAGAAATATGAAAACTGAAAATTTATTTTTTCCTTGTATCTGGAAATAATTTTTATGCTTCTATTTCTTTTCTTATTTGTGTTTTCCCCTCAGAACGATCGCTTCCTACTGAGCAAGTGGTGTTGTTATTATGACTTCAAGTGCTATAAATAGAGTCAAAACGAAAGATAGAAATCGTTTGGAGAGAAAATAAAAGCAATGAATGCAAATATTTATCACCAAGGAAAGAAAGGAAAAATTATTTTGCATACAAAATCACTTTTCTTTTTTTCTTTCTTTAGCTTTTTGCTGTTGATAAGGCATTTATTGGAAAGATTTACAATCCCTTTATTGTGTATTTATTTCTTTTGATTTGAAGCTTTATATGTGGAATGAATTTGAAGTATTCTCTATGCGATGCTTTTTCTTGTTTGTTATAACCTTGTTATGGTACTTGTGATTGGCAAATTTATTTTTGCGATTTTCATTTCTAATATTTCAATCTGACAAAAGAAAAAACTTTTTTTCTTCTCTCCTTTCGCTTGATACCAGAAGAGATAATCTGTGAACTTGTTTACCTAGATTATATTTGACGTATTTAAGCAGCAAAGCTTAAAAAGATAAACAATTCCCTACATTACAGTTACATAAAATTTAATTGAAAAGTTGAACATTAAAAGCTTTAAAGCAAAAATTCAAAAGTTATAAAAGTGATTAAACATATTTTTGAAATTTGTTATTAAAAAGTTTGAAGGAAAAATGTTTGACATTGGGAAGACAAATATCATTTGCTTTATTGCATTTGACAAACATTTGCTTATTTAAATGAAGCCACCCTAAGGCAATTAAGGATTGAAGAGAGAAATTGTTTAAATAAAGTATAAAATCTCATGTTTATACCACAAAAATTAAAGTTCGCTTGTGAAAGCTTGTGAGACCTAAAATAAATAAGTAATAAATAATTTGTTCAAGTGAGATATCTTTGGTAATTCAACAATATCTAAAAACATTAATAATTTCTACTTGGATTTTGTCACACTAACTCTATCATCTTGTGAGTCTACTTCAAAAAAATTAAAGAAGAGGTCTGGAGTCGTTAGTTAGCGTTTATTATCATCAGCTAAGAAAACACCATTTTAAGTCATTTTCAAAGTAAGTTCAGGTCTAATGAGCTAAAACCGAGCATTAACCGCGATGCTATAAATTTTCCGTCGAAGGATTAAAAATGTTCTTAGCCCCACCGTGAAAAATGAAAGCATTAAATGTCAGCTCAACGTCAAAGCAGTTTCTAGTGCCGGGTGATGATAATACGTGGGAAGAAAATATAATTTCTTCTCGTCAGCTTCGCTTTAAACTCATTAATTATGAGATAATAGTTTGGATTATGAAGTGTTTTTTATCTCTTTTCCATCTGCAAACCCGCTTTTCACTTGAATTTTTCTCATAGCTTAACATGCTTGAAATAATATCGTATTAGGAAGTTTTACTTCTTCTTCATTTTGTGATTTTTTTTTTGAAAGGGATTTGAAAGAAACAAAAAGTCTCTTAGTACTCTTATTTCTAGGCAATGAAAATTGATTGCAAGTCGACTTAAACATTTGAGATTATTGACGGAAAACTTTTTCGTCAGAAAAGCCATGAAAATCACTTTATCAAGTTTACTTTCCCCTTTACCCTCTTTTGCTTCGCTTGTTTTCTTTCTCTTTCTTACTGCCACTACAATAAGTCAACATTTCGGGTGAATTACACGAGAGTTTATGGATAATTGAGTGCCGAAAACATTTATTGATTTTCCTCGAGTTTTGCTTTAAGCATAAGCAAAAACAGAATCTCAGGTGAATAATCACACTAAAGATTTTCCAACAATTGTTTCCTTTGCAATAACATCGTCAACGATTTTCAAAAGCGAAAATTAAAAACAATTTTTTCACAACTTGTAAATGTCGCTGGTTTTATTGGAAAAACAAGGTCAATAGGAAGTGGAAATGAAATATGAAATGGTGTTGAAATGGCCCCAGAAATATATTGAAGTGATGTTAAATTCTAGTTCAAAAAGCACAAATAATTTCAAACCGGATATTGAATTTGTAGAAACAAATAAATGTTTGCTTGCTGAACAATTGACATTAATTTTCTAGTTAAACTTCTGTTGTACTCCACATATTGGTGATGGTCATACGCATACCGATGTTGCAATTCAAACATCACAAGAAGCAATTTGTTTTCAATTTTCTCATAGTTTATTTTCACAATTGAAGCTTCTTTTTTTCTTTCTAAGAATACCTCGGTATCTCTCGAATTTATTGTCAAGAACATTGTCATAGATTGTTGAAAGTTAACAATCAATTCGAACGACAAACCTCAATTGCAATCGTTTTAAAAATACGCCTTCAGTGATTCCACTGCATATTTTTCCCACGAACGTTTTTCTCTCAATTACCATACTTTTATGTCAGATGTCCCTGTTTGATCTCATTAAAAAAATTAGAAGGAAGAAACAGAAAAAAAGGATGATTTAAAAAATATTCTTCAAGAAATCCGATGACGTTTGCTTCTGACTAAGGAAACATAAATCTTCAATTTTAATATGTTTACTAGACTCTGGTTTTCATCTTCTCATCTTGTTTTCATTTTCTATTGTACGATTTGGACATGATTGAATGGGTAAATGAAACATGACCGGAAATTGAGGTTCGACTTTAAAATTATTCAGTACTCAAGAGAAGAAGTTAAATATTTGCTTTGTTCTATTATTGAAGGCAATATCATTGGCTAACTGAATTAGTTATTCATGAAGAGTGCAAAAATGAGCTCTACAAACGTCGAAATGCAGCTGTAGAATTTTTGTTGAAAATAAAGTAATTTAAAATTATCAAAGGAATTCCTTCCACATCTCTAGAATTAGAATTCTTGTGGAATTCAAATAAGTCTCCATACATAATTGAATTCACATTATTTTACTATCGATTAAAAGATATGAATAATTTTTCTCTGTTTTAATAGTTTAGAACTTTTCGTATTATAAAATGTAACAAAAGCATAAGTTAGAAATCAGAAAAAAAAATTATCTTAATAAAGTTTTATGAATAGCGAACGTGGTTTGAACTGATAAACGTATTCAAGCTTGTTACAGCATTTTTAAATAAAATCTGCCGGAATATTATCTCAGATTTTAAAAAAGTTTCGTCTTTCACTACGTATAAAATATTTCTTTCAAATGTTTCTTAAGTGAGATGTTTGAACCAGAACACTAAAATCAACTAATTAAGCGTCGAATGTTTACGATAGCTGAGTAAAAAAATTGCTTAGACAGACGGAAAAGTAGAATGGAAAAAGATATTTTTTGATTCTTCCCAATAACTTCGCTTTATTTATGATTCATGTTTTTTATTTATTTATCGCGCTTCTTGTGTTGAGCAATAAAAACATCAACATCGTAAAAGTTTCCCCTTGTAATGTAAAGAATAAGAGGCGAAAAAATTTTTTTTATTATCTTTTTCTGATGCAACTCGGAACATTAAATTCAACACAGAATTGTTTTTAATATCGAATCGAAGATCATAAAAGGAGCTTTCCTTCCTTTCTCATCATTAAAGTTGAAACGAAAATTAAATTGCATCGGAAAGGATGAAAAAAAATGTATTGTAATATCGAAAACATCTTGATTCGAATTCTTGGAAAAAAAGAAGAAAAATTTGTCGGTCAGGATTACGGTTGTCGATATGCAAGTACACTTGTACTTGTACTTGCATATCGACAACCGTACGTGTTTGCAACTATGACTAATAAATTCACAAGAGATTTTCTCATTCTCGACTATTATTCTGATAATATTTGTGGTTATAAGAGTTTGCAACTCAACAGAGTATTGGCTTTAAATGAAAAATTCATTATCTGGCTTCTTGAAGTGGTTAAAGTACCCCATTGAAGTTACAATATAAGAATAATATTTTTTATATAAAAGAAGGCGGTTTCACACTTTTTTTTACCGGTCTCACGTAAAAGTAAAATGTTAAATTGAGAGTCACGTTCCAATTGCAACTGACCAAATGGTGCATTGCAGACAGCATCGAATCTTTAGAAAATCTTTTGAATTTCCAATGCTACCGGAACTAGTCTATTCTTATTCACATTGTATTTAAAAACTCAAATGTAGTTTAATTTCAAAGGAAGCGACAGCCTGTACAAAGATGCAGCACTTACGTATTATATCTACCCACTCTTGGGGAAGCAAATAATGAACTTGTTTTTGGAAAATTTCCTCATGAATTATCTTTTGACAATGTTCGCAGAAAGTGAACACTAAATTGCTTCGTTCACATATCAGTATATTTCAAAACATTGTTCTCATGGAAAATGTATAAGCAAAAATACTCAATGATGCAAAATATACTCTACTTCTTCATTAAGTTTCTCAAAGTCGTGTTCAATTTCAATAATTACATGATTTATAAACTTACTGCATAGCAATTCATGTGGGTTTTGTAAGCATAGAACAATGATTCTCAGGGTGACCATGACAATGTATGTTGTGATTATATATGTTTGAAGCAGTTGAGATTTATTGTAAGCACTTAACATTGATTCAAGTGTTTGTCACCCTATCAATGTTGATTATGCTGCATCGACACTTATTTGCATTAGAATTGCAACGTAAGATAAACAGAGAAAAATTATTTAGTCAACAAAATTTCTTGCATCGTTTCATCCTTCCATTACTCAATTTTGTAAACACGTTAAGTTGATATTAATGAGATCTTGGATGAGGTAATTACAAGTGTTTTGAGGAACAGCCGTTGAAAAGTTCATTGTATGATGATTAAAGTTGTTAACAACTTTTATGCTCTTCAGGATTGTTTTCAAACTTTTACGAACGAAAAGTTACCAACATCGAGTAGTTCAAGTCTCTGTCATTATTCTTTAATTTATCTGAGTTTTCCTCAAACTTTTGTCCTCATACTTCTGCTAACAAACAACAATAAAACTTTTTGAGGAAAGTGATTCTCGGTGGGAATGCTTTGAAAGCATTGTTTGATTTCTTTACGCGAATTTGAGCATCAAAGATGGAATGTCGATAAGATATTCACAGGTTGTAGTTGGCAATAAAGTAAATATGCGAGTATTGAAAACTTTCTTTTATTTTTTATTTGTAAGAATATTTTCCCATCCATATATGACTAAGTAATGTTAAAAGAATCTTGTGAGATATTTTGGAAGGAGAAACGAACAAAGTTTACTCCCAAAAAAAATTATATTTTCTTGTTCAAACCGAGAAATTCTCAAGTTGCTTGCTCCCAGGAATATTGAAAAAGAAAAAAAAAACAGAAAATCTTAAACGATATATGAATGGATGTTTATTTTGGGTTGAAAGTGAGAAAATTTATCATTTATACATGTGCTTCCTCCCTCCTGCTCCTGGGGTGCTGAAAGAATTCTTTTGCTTCCCTCTTCAAACATTCATCATGCTGAAATTGCCTTGAGTCAAATGAAGGTTGTGAAGACGAAATGAGTTATGACAGGTTCAACTCAGCCCTGGAAACTTCACCACGTTTTCCACTTCAAAACTGTAAGAGTTGTGAGAGGGTGTGGGTGGAAAAGAAAGGCAATTATATGCAAAATTCGTTTCAACTTTAAATTTTCTTTTTTCACTCTTTCACTCATACCATAGCCAACAACATGTGTATAATATTGATTTTGATATTATCGCTATCATTCTTCAAACGATGATATGTTTTCTTTTTTCCCGCCTTTATTTTCCATTTGTGTTTTTTCAACCAAAACTTTCTTTTTTATCACAATAACAAAGGTGACGATGCTTATTTAGAAGTTTTTTTAAGCTTTTCAGTCTCGATTTTTTTTATTTGGGCTCTTCATCATGTGACGTCATTGGTTGAAGGCTGAAATTACATTATGTTTGAAAGGGTTCTTAAATAACTTTTTATTTATGATTATTACTGAACATTTCAAATCGTCTTTAAATAATCTTTCAAAAGAAGAAAATTGAAACTGCTTATCGTATCAATAAATAAAGCTTTGAGCTTTTCTCGAATGAAAAAACTTGAAAAAAAAAACTATCAGCTTTGTTGTCTCTATGTCATTCATTGAAAAAAAAATAATCATTTAACGTTTCACTTCATTCTGGATACAAAACACGAAACGAGTACCTAATGCAGTAATTTCTTTTTCTCTGGAGTCGTTGATTGAATGTTTTTTTAATTTTAGTTGCACTGATCGTATCATGAGTTTTCAACATTGTATTGAATAATCAGTTTTTCATTTGTGAAAAATGAAGGAAATTCTCCAGCTTTTCTTTTTCAAGTTTCGTTACATAATCTTGTATTTTGGCATCGTTTCAACAGCAATTTCTTTTTATTCTCAAAATTTCGTACATCCGTTGGGTTGCCAATGGCATTTGTTTCGTGCCATGATGCAGAAGTTTTCTATGTGAAATATAAATGAAGTATGAGAGAGTCGTTGCAGTCGTTCAGATGATTGAAGGAATATTACAGTCACTCCATGAAAGCTCAATTTCATCACCACGTTATGAATGTTTATATTCAAACTTTTCAAATATTGAGTCAAAGTCTTCTGGTCTAAAGTTCTCAACCAAGTCCCGACAATTCCTCTGTATGAAGAAAAAAAGTTAGCTTTTCCAGTTTTTCCATTTTGTTCATTCGGTCGATGTTGAACGTGGCTACACAGCTATAAAAAGAATTGAGGTGCATTCAACCGCACAACACTAATAGTAATAATTATAATAATAATAATAAATATAATAACGTAGTGGCATGAAGAAAAAGAAGCAGCAGCAGGAGCAGCAGCAGCGAAGAATTGAAGAAATGAGACGAAACCCAAAATTGGATTAAGTTTTTCCAAGCCATATATCTTATTGTGTAAAAGCTATAATGCTTTAGCTTTCACTGCGGGGAAGGGAGGTTGAGTGACTGCAAAGGAAGAGAAATTTCAGCAGAAAAAAATAAAGCGGAAATTACATCATCACATGTCCCGCCCTCTCCTTGACGTGCTTCCCTTGAATTTGACTCACACGATGAGAAGAGAAGAAAATATTTTCTTAATATCGCAAATCAAGGGAAGACGACGATCTATGAAGTTAAAAAAAAATTTCACAAATGTCAAGAATTTCTGTTACAACTCTTTTCTTATTTTTTTGCCTTACCCCTGTCGTTATTGCCTTCATTGTTTTTGCCGTATAAAAATGAAAGGGAAAGAAAAGAAAAACTTCCTGCACTATAGCGTGTGACATTTTAAAGTGAAAGAAAAGCTCGAAAATCTTAAAAGGAATTTTTGATACGTCTTGAGAATTATTTATGGTGCTTCACACAGTAACTGTCATCGCTTCAATTCCTGATATTGCTTTTGTTGCTATTTCTCTTCTTTTATTGTTTACAGAAGCGTTAATTTCAAAAGATTTCTTTCATAAGACTTTACGACTAGCTTTTGTTATGAAGAAGCATATAAGAGCAATTTATTATAAGCCCATTCACTTTTATCATCCTCAGGTGAATGATAGTGAAGAATGCATTTAATTAAATTTGCATCGTAACGTCAGCAATTTGAATCCACAAAATATGAGCATAAATTTTTCTAAGAAAGCATTTTTAAATTCCTTTTTCCCTCTATCTCAAGTATTCTTAAAAAAGATTAAATCTGTGCGCACAGCAAAGAGGTTTGCTATGAAACATTTCCGACACTTTCCCATTCTCTCATAAAGCAACTTTCAAGTTATTATTCATTTGGAAGTTTCATGCGGATATAGGAATGTAGTTGTATGTGTAAGAGGGTGTGTGATGGTGTTTTGCATTAGTTCCTAGAATATCCGTGTTTCCATTTTGTTAAATTTACTTCCTCATTTGTAAACCGCTTTGCAGTTGTTCTAGCTGTTTACGTCTGCAAAAAACAACATGCAGCAGAGAACATTTGTATGAAAGTTTGCCAGCAAGTTATATTTTAGTAGCAATTGAGGAACTTCTTTTATGTTCAAGTTCTAGTGCCTAATATTTCTTCGTGCTTTTCCAAACAACGTTTTCCTTTTATTCAATTTTGAAAGATACCAATAGCTTGGCTTTGAAAAAAACATAAACGACGAGAAAGTTAGAAGTATGAAAATTAGTTTCATGGTCAAGAAGAATTCGATTTTTTTTTGTTTTATTTTAGAGGCTCAAGCGGCCTGTGGTCACTCGCGACTCTACAAAATTTCTTTACCTATAGGGGAAGGAAACTTTAACAACAGTTTTATTTACTGGATTTGTTTTAGTTTGATTGTAACGGGAGAACATGAAAACTTTTATAACACGACCAAAGTTTTTTTATACACTTTTCCCTTTTTTATTCAGTGATTCGAATGAAAATTGATACAACGAATGAAGAAAAGCAAAGAAAAGGAAAATAAAATTCATGTTAACTAATCAGTAATAACAATTTGTTTTATGAATTTTATTATGAAGGGGGAAATAAATATTGCAGAATAATCTGGACGTGAATCAACGATGTAAGTTTTTTTCATGATTTCTATATTAACTAATAACCAACTTATGATATTAAAGAAAAAAAATTATCTAAGAAATCTTTTCATCTTCTTTAAAGAAGTGAAAGGATTACAGAAAAATACGAAGGGATAAATATCAACTTGTATAACTTTTTTGATTAATTGAAATAGTTTTTTCTTGGTTGCGTAAGCCTAAGGGTAAAGGAAGTTAAGGAAAAAGTAAGCGAAATGGATATTTATAAAATATATTTCGGTCATCTTGATGGTGTTTCTTTCTATAGTTATAATTTTATACAGAATGGTTTACCAAAAAACAAATTAGACCCCATCATGGCTTTCCTACATTTTTCGCTTTTCTCCCTCCAAAACAAAATAAAATAAACTTCATTGAAATCATAAATTTTCAATTTCTTTTTTTCCTACTTCGTCTTGCAACTAAAGCTGAAAACATTTTTTATATTTATTATTAGTCATGAAATAATTGCGTGACAGAATTCCGGAGTGCCATTAATAAATGGAGAAATCCAAGCTGGAAAAACGACGCTCAAGCAATAACAGCTTCGTAATACAACAATTAAATAATTAAGAAAAATTGAATGAAAAGAAACTTAAAAGATTATGTAGAATATGGTAATTTATTTTCTATAATTCGATTTCTCCTCCTTCCGGCAACGTGATTGAAAATTTATTCAAAAGGTTTATTAAATTATAAATGAGCGGTGTTATAATAAATGATTGAAATTTGTTTTAATTTAAGTATATATCGCTATAAACTTGTATTTGTGTGTGTGTGTGTGTAATCCGAATTTTCAATGAATGATATTTGTTATGTCAGCATGCTTTTCCAATGGATGAATTTTTGTGCGTGCCATTTTCATTTGCGAGGAGTGTCATAAATAAGCAACAATTAGGAAATGTCCAAATATAGAATTTTGTGTTTGAAATGAGCCAAAAATACAAGCAAGCAAAATTAAGCTCGGTTTGAGAACGTTGGTAAATTAAAGGCCAGTTTTTCTTGCTTTCAACTAATAAAGCCATTAAGGGTGAGTAACAGTATTTCGTCTTATCTACCCAGCCAACACTATTCATCTCATCTATCAAACTTGATTTTAGTGGTTCAAGAGCGCTCTCGTCTTATCTGGAAATTAGTGGTGAAAGATTTACTTGCTTCCTTCTTCTTTCTTTGAAATGTATTTGAATAAAAAAACGGTCAGATTGGTCATGAATATATCTATCGAATCAAAAGGGCATAACATAATTGGCGAACATGAAAGTCTCATATTAAAAACTCATTTTGGTCAATTTTCTTTCTCTCTTCATTCACCTTGCTGTCTCTATCTCTCATCATAATTTCTATCGCCCTTCCGTACACTTCAACTTTGAACGTAAGAAAAATTCCATCGATGGGCTCTGGTGAAGAAATCCCAAATACCAAAGTGAAGGCCTCAACAATGAACAATGTAGGCAGAAAACAAAAAGTTCGACTCTTTCTCTCTTCACTTTGATCAAAAACAAGGCAAATTCCTTTTACATTTCTATTCGCAACTTCTATTACATAAAACATAAGCTTGATCGCCAAATATAATTCGAAATAATTTGTGAATCCAAATAAAAGGCACATAAAAAATATAAAAATGTTTTATAATATATTGGTAACAAAACGGAAGCGATTAATTACATTTATTATTACTTGCTAGAAATATCTTTCTGGCTTTGTTTTCATCATTACTTATTTAATTATGAAAAAATTGTTGAGCAGGCAGATCTAAGAATTTATGTTAAGGTTAATGTAAGTATGTGGGGAAGGAGAGAAGGGGACATTGACAGTTTGTATGTATTCACGTAATCGATTTTCAGATCTTTTATGTCATTTTTTTTATTCATTCATCTCTCCACTCACGCGCCACAAATTTCTTTTTTTTCTTCCTTCTTTTCATCCATTTCTTTTATTATTATTTGTATCATTTACAAATGAAATAGAAAAAAATGTGCTTAATCACTGGAATTTACATTCGACATTGTTCATCTTTGCTTTTCCCATCGTGCGCGCCTGTTTCGTTATAAAGCTTGGTTATTCCCTTCGTGGATTGAAATAACACACAGCCAAATAATTCTGCTCAAACACTCCCCATCAAACTATTTATACAAGCTTTCGAATTTCAATTCAAACTACAAAAAGCATTCAACGAACTAAATATGAGAAATTCTAAATCGATAATCACATAGAAGTTTAGGATTCTCAGTGATGTGTGAAGTGGGATGAGTAGCAAAGGCATTTTGATGTTTATTGGGATCGTCTTTGATGTTTCTCATCGGCATTCTAAATATTTTTTTTGTTCATGTTATGCTTGTTTTCTTTTTCTGGTTAAATCATAGTTCACTAGAAGAGAGCTTTTATGACGTGTTTCTTTCACATTCCATCAGCATTCCCATCTCTCGTTTATACTCAAAGCTCAAACACACGAAAAATTTGATTATTTTCGCTATCGAAATAAAAAGTTGGAATAAAAATGTTGATCAAGGGAAATTTCACTTTCATTATGACAAGAATTTAATTAAAAGAGAGAGGGAATTTATATGGCATTCAGTGTATAAATACGTAAGAAGAAAAAAAAGCACAGCTTGAAAATGAAATTTTACAGTTTCACATTTTCTGACATCAACTATAAGAGAAATGTTTGTATGAATTACACTTTTTCTTTGGTCAGAAGAGTGACATTGTGTTGTAAGTGTCTTCAGATAAAAATATGATACATTAAGCGCATAAGAGGGAGTCGGTAAGACTAACTCGGTTTATTTTGAAAAGAGTGACAGGATTAAATACATGCTGATGCTTTTTATATGATTTCTAATCTCATTATGCATTAGACGTCGCTTTTCCTGCGTAACATTGGTAAAATGTTGGGGAAAATCTATACAATAATCATCAGAGATTGATTTTCTATTTCATTTATGATGTAACAGATGAATGAATAAAAATAAGAATAGGATTTGCAAGATGATGGTTATGCTTCTGGCGATATTTATTGTGATGTATTAAATCATCAAGAAAAGCTGTCTGGGCACGCGGATAAGCTTCTTCATAAGATTATTTAGAGAGAGAAAACCCATAAAAGTGTGAGCTGCTTGACAACATATAAATTCATGACATATGCTCTTTTTAAACGTTTGAGATTTATTGAAGGGATTAAGTGTCTCGACCTAAAAGAACACGGAATATGCCTCAAAAAGAAAAATAAATTTACATTCGGTCAATATTTGATTTTAAAATGTCTGGCGTAGAATAAAGTTTTTATGAGAGCATTGTGGATGAGAAATGGTTGTTGATCCTTGATATACTTAATACCTTACTGGTATCAAAAGAAAGAATTATTTCAACAAGCCCATTTGCAAATGAAAACAAGCTTGAGACCGACCGCGGTAATGGAGTGTAAGAGCAAAGCGTTTCAACATAAATCTTCTTATGGGTGCGATAACGACATAAATGGTGGAGAAAAGGTTGTAAGTAGAATGTAAGTCAATTCAAATGAACTCGTTGTGGAGATTTTTCCACTCCAAAAGCTTCGCATGAAGAACGACAAAAATATAAAAAGAAAATGTTTAAAGGGTCAAAAACAAAACATGATGGGAGATGAAAAATCTGTACGAATTAAACAATTTCCTGGTCATTTCCACAAGGAATGATAGAAAAACAAAAGCAGACAAGAATAGTATCAAATCAGATCCTTTTTATTGCCAGAAAGATAAAACTATGTGTAAACGAGAAACAACAAGAAAAAAAACGTCATCAGAATAGCAAGACCCAAAGACACCGAAATTTTCATCAATGAAAAAAATGCACAGCGGAGAAAAGTCTGGCACTTGTGAGAATTTTTCTTTTGTGGAAAAACTCTTCTCAAGCGTTAAGCACTCGTGTGACTTCGGATTTGGAAATCGTATAAAAATTGTATTGGAGAGAAGTTTGTGAGAGTGTTTTTCTTTTTGAACATACGCTCATTTTATGCTCACGAGAGAGAAGTATGAGCGTGCAGCAGAATATTTTCTTCTGTCTCATCAAAATGAAGAGAAGAAAATCGTACAATCGTACATATAACAATAATAGTACATCATATAACTTTTCATTAGTAATATAGTTTTTCCCGAATTTTTTTTGTACTTTCGTCGGTTCAGTTGATGGAATCGCGTCGCGTTGTAAACATCTCTCACAAATGAAATAAGAATTTTTAAGAAAAAAACCTTACTTATAATTATTAAATGTTATATTTAACCGTTGATTTTAATCACAAATTTTGTGTATATAATCTTATTTTTTTTCTCGCGACTTCGCGGCGTGAAAATTTGTACGCGAAAAGTTCAAAGGAAAAGTGAGAGAAAAGCAAATTAAAAGGAAAAAACGAAAAGAAAAAAAAAACAGGGAAAGGAGAATTATCTGAAATAATAAAACAAAAAGGAAAAGATTTTCCCGTGAAATTAGTGAAGTTTTGAAAGATTTATCACAATAGCTCTTTGCGAAAGAACATTGTTAAATTTTTGCTTCCTTATAAAAAATAGTTCTTGTATTTTTCCCCCAAAGTTATTATCTATGAATTTTAAAACAAATTTCTAAAGTTCTGTTTTCAAGTAAAATTAAAATATTTAAAGTCTTAACAAATTAATATAAATTG